AAAAGTCGCAAGATCTATTATTTTTAAAATAAATGTTTGTATACAAGTAAATTGCAATAACACGATTTGTTTGGATTATGTTTATATACAAGTTTGTCTGTTTTCATAGTAATAACTGATGTGGTTGAAGTTAATTTTTCAAATAAATCTTAATTTTTTTATTTCGTGCTGAAGTTCTTTTTTAAAGTTATCAATTTCTTTTCTTAATTCTTGATGCTCTATTAAAAAACAACGCTTAGCATTAAATTTAACATAATTTAATGGATCATTTTTTGAAAAAGCTGTATTATATTTACATTTAATCAAATCAGTCTTTGAGCATTGCAGCCCAAGTTAAACAAAAAATATCGATTTTTAAACGATAATGTTCTTTCAGGAAAATCGTCTGAACATGTTTTCGATCTCTTTAAAATTCTATATGATATAAGTTCAGTATTTACATTTTTTTTTTCATTATAAATCTCTTTAACTTTAACCGTTGAAATAATGTTTACGATTTTACTCCCATTTCTGCGCGCGCATAAATTTTATATCGTATTTTTTGTCAACAATGATTGAAATAATGACGTTGAAATAACGTTAAATAATCAACGTTTAAACGGTAACGTTGATTTAACGTTGTGACATAGTTGAACAACGTTGAAACAACGCTTCAACGGAATTTCAACGTTGAAACAACGTAATAATGCCGGCTGGGTTGTTATTTAGCAATACTAGGTCAGCATTTAGTAATGCCAATTTAAAAGTGTTTGAAGTCAGCATAAAATTACTGCCCCATTTCTCTCATGGTAACTTCTTTGTGTCTAATTTTTTTGAGGACCTGATCAGTAGCGTACTGGCAAATTTGAGCGGCCCGGGAAACCCCAAGTTGACCGGCCTCAAAAAAAAAACAATATAATATAAAATAACATTTTAATATAATATTAAATATAAAAATACTTAATAAAAAATAAATAAACAAAAGGTTCTTAACCATTTAAATATTTACTAATACCAGGAGCATTTTCTCTTACTATATCTGTTATTGTATAATTATTTAAATTAACCAAAATATCCTTCTCTATCGCCATAAGCATCAAAAACTGCAAATTATCTTGCAACAAGGAAGATCTGAGTCTATTTTTTATAATTTTTAATTTGGAAAAACTACGTTCACAAGCTACTTGCGTCGAAGATAATGTTAAAATAAATTTATATGCAAAATAAACATTGCTGTATACTTTGCTATATAAATTATATTTAGCCAAGAAATTAAAACAGCAATAAATACAATTTTTGCAACTCTTTTTGTTTTTGAGGCATACTTCACTTTTTAATTCTGAATCTGAATCAGTTAATTCATTAGTGTTATATATATCTTGCATAGATATTTTAAAGTTGTCCCATTTTGTCATTAAATCAGTTAATTCCTCCCTTAAATTTGACGCTGTAGCTGTTTTATGATATTTTACTAGTAATTTACTGAGCTCTTCTAAACTGTTTTTGAGCATTTATTGTCGGTAAAATTTTCAGTGTCTAATATTGCCGTGTTTGCATATAATTTTACATGATTTTTAAAACGGTTTTCTATAGTATTTATTGTGGTATCCATAATTACGTTAAACGTGGTTAATTTATATTTTTCGATTGGGTTTTGAAATTCATGATCTTCGGTTATTTCGTCGGGCATTCTCTTTCGTCGTCTAAATCTCTCTTCTGGTATATTGCCTTCGACAATTATTTCACAATTTTCTTCTTCAAGTAGTGTATTCGCACGTTTAGCAAATAAATTTGACTTTTCTTTTACATTATTTAAATCACGTGAAATTTTTTTAAAGAATTTAATGTGGAAGTTACCATGTTATAAGCTGTTGAACAATTTAAACTGCTGGTTTGTAAATATTTAGATAACGGTCCAATATATTTAAAAAATTTTAAATCAATATGTGCTGTAAGTATAACTTTAAATTTCAATAAAGACTCCATTAGTGTTGATGCAGTGTGTCTAATTTGAACATTGAAAGATACATTAGACACAAAATAATTCAAAGTTATCAATAAGTGTACATATAATGAACTTTTCTTTGTTATTATAATGCCCAAAAAAAAATTTAAGTGCTGTTTCTTTTGCAGCCCATCTTGTTTCACCTATAACGTTAAGTCTCAGATACCTTATTTTTACACTGATGTTTTCCCAAACATCCATACGTTGGTAAGATTCTCTTAGAAACACGGCACACTAGTTAAGTAATTGAAAGAGAGAAGCACCTTTAATTACCGAACAAGTAGCATCTGTGACAACTAAATTCAATACGTGGGCATAACACCAAACGTGAATTTGACCAGGCGATTCTTTACTTAACCAACTGGTGAAGCCATTACACTGTCCACACATGTTTGCTGCTCCGTCTGTCGAATTACCGACACAATTTTTAATATTTAATCCACTGTTTTTAATAAAAGTACTAATTAAATTGCATATGTCTTTCCTTGTAGACGATTTGCAATTTAAAACAGCTACTACACGTTCATAAATATTTCCCTTTACATATCGGACAACAATTGAGCACTGATCCTTTTGTAAATAATTTAATAATATAATACAATAAGAATTTATTTAACCCATTAACGCCTAAACAAAAATCTTTTGTTGAAAAGCTCGATTATTTAATATTAACTTACGTCATTCTATTTAAATTAGAACGTTTATGTTTTTATAAAGAATAGATGTAAAGTCATTACTGGGAAACGCTTTTTTTTTTTTTTTTTTTTTTTTTTTTTTTTTTTTTTTTTTTGCCAAATAATAATTTTTTTTTTTTTGCCAAATAATAATACAAATTTTAACATATTACAAATTAGGCGGCAGGACTTCTAGAAGATCATGAGGATGTTATCATGAGACCCTTTACAATGCTTTTTAGTATCGAGTATAATATAATATAAATACGTATTAATGAAGTTATAAAAAGTATAATAGTATAATATAATATAAGTATAATATAATATATATAATATAATATGAGTATAATATAATATAAATACGTAATAATGAAGTTATAAAAAGTATAATAGTATAATATAATATAAGTATAATATAATATATATAATATAATATGAGTATAATATAATATAAATACGTAACAATGAAGTTATAAAAATTCGTAAAATAAAAAAAATAATATGAAGTTTAACAGAACACAGTAATAAAAAGTATTAAAATACAAACCATTAAATACATAAGTTTGCAAAGAACTCATGGAAATATTCGTAAATAGTAAAACATAATACAATAAAGTCTAATATATAGTCTAATATCAGCAATAAATTGATAAAAACTCAAAAATAGATAAAGATGTTTTCAATTGAAAAGATAATTTCTTTAATTTTGGTTTTGAATGAGGAGTAGTTTAGTTTGATTGAAAAACCAAAATTAGGTAAAACTATTTTGTTCCAAAGAAGAGGTCCACGATAGGACATACAAAATTCGTTGTATTTAGTTTTGCAAAAAGGAGCATTAAGATTGTTGTCAATTCGTAAATTATATTTGTTTTTTGGTTTTAAAGAATAAAGATATTGAAATACTTGTGGAGATAAATTTTCTTTACACTTGAACATAAAGCATAAAATATTGAGAATATAAAGTTGATAAACATTCAAAGCTTTTATATCTTTAAGAAGTGGCGCAGAGTGTGTAAGACGATTTTTAAAATTAATTGCGCGAGCTGCGTGTTTCTGATGATTAAAAAGAGTTTTAAGTTTTGTCTTTTGAGTGCTTCCCCATATAATATATGCATAGTTTATATGACAGTGAACAAATGAATAGTACAGTTGAGTCAGCTGCCGTTTATTTAGTATGTTTCTAGCTTTATAAAGAATACCGATGCATTTGGAAACTCTAGAAGAGATAATGTTAATGTGATGTTTCCAAGTTAAATTTTCATCAATATAGATTCCTAGAAACTTTGTTACTTTTTTTCTTTTTATCATTAAATTGTCAATATATAGTTCGGGTAACAAATGTGGTATTCTATGTTTTTTAAAGAGTGGATAAAAAAGTGTCCATTTAGTTTTAGCAGTGTTGAGAGATAACCTATTTATTTTGAACCTTTCAGAAACTTTTTTAATTCATTTGTCATGTTGTTGAAAAGAATATTAATATTTTCATGAGATAGAAATAAATTTGTGTCGTCTGCAAAGATTATTTTTGTTAGGCTTGAAGTTTTATAAAGATCATTTAGATATATTATAAAGAGAAGAGGTCCAGGTATGGAGCCTTGAGGAACACCACACGCTATATTCATTAACACTTGAGAGGAGGATTCTTTATTATAAACATATTGCTTACGATTTGTAAGATAGTTTTTTAACCAATTGAGGGTGTTATCTTTTATTCCATATGATAATAATTTTTTTATTAAAATTTGATGGTTGACGGTATCAAAAGCTTTAGATAAGTCAATAAATACTCCTAATGTGAAATGAGATTTTTTAAAAGATTCTGAGATGTCGCGCGCAAGTTAGAGAATAGCGTGTTCTGTTGAATTGTTTTTTTTAAAACCAAATTGGTTTTCGTATAAGATTTTATTGTTAATTAGATGCCCAAGGGCACGCGGGCGTCCATAGTACGTCCAAGGACGTCCATACCGGTCCGTTCGCACGTCTATAATTTACGTCCTCGGACGTCCTTTAGACGTACCAAATGAAACGACTTTCGTCCGTCTATATCAGACGTTTAAAGTACGTTCAAGGACGTCCAAAACGCTTTATTCAAAAGTCCACGATAGACGTCCTACGGACGTCCAAAGGTTATTTTTTCCGTTTAATAATGAATGATTAAGCTGAATTAAATTAAACGTTGAATTCAACGTTGTATTTTATTCAGCTAATTCTCATGCCGACTCCATTTCTAACAACTATAAAAAACGGGGTCTTTTGGTATAAGAAATGAAGTTTTTTTCCCAACGGGCCAAAATTGAATACACGCGTGTTTAGGGATTTAAGACACAAATCATTACAAAAAA